GTGCTGCTTCAAAGGCCTGTAGAAAATCTTGGTTTCGCGGCATGTGAAACCTAATTATGGAGGTACGCAAATTTTCCCAGTCCAAACAGTGATCCTCCCCTGTACGTATCTTGAGTGCATCATGTTCTAAGGTTAACATACCTTCGACGGTATAAGTTAAATGGGGAGCGTGCGATGGTCGCATTTCAAATGTAAACGCTGTTGGTCCGTTGTGGCACACAAAGTCTTTGAATGCTTGTGTGCATGTCCTCCATTCTACTGATGAATAAGAGGGACGAGTCGTACTCAACATTTTCCTTCCTTGTAAACTTACTTTTTTCAGAAACTTACTGTTAGGCAGACTGTAAAGATAAAAGAAATAGAATTTGGTTTACCAAAACCCATAAATCTGTAGTTCCAAAAAGTAAGGCTTTGCCATTCTTATCGCAAGCTTTCAAAAAAAAACAGTTTATGCTTCAAAAGTTTTATTGAGAAAGTAGTTGGCGACAACAAATGAAGCTGTCTTAACGGAATAATGAAACGATGCATTTAGAAAAGTACCATATTCCTTCTCCGAGACGTAATTCAGATTTTGTTCCCAACGTCCATTAACATTCCACTTAAGTGGATACATATCATAGTTGGATGCTGACCGTATCACTGCCACTGGAACATCTGGAAAATTCACCATGGCCTTTAGGAATCCGAAACCCTCCATTGCCTGTGCGCACACAACTTCACTTATCGGTAATTTCATCACCTGAGCAGTATATTCACGACAAAGATAGTCCCGTTGAGCCCCAACAAAAATAGAATTATATGTAGATTCTGCACACTGCACAATACGCGGTTCCATTGGGGTATTTGGATTTTCAGCCGCTTCATTCGAAGACCACCACTTCTTCAGACCATCCACAACCGTAGATGACATTTGAGGAAATTTTACATCCTTATTGGCTGCACGAATGGCATCTGATAATAAAGGATTCGCAACAATTTGATTTAACGCCGTAGTTTTATTAAATCGTGAGCACATAGGGCGAGAACATTGATTATCGGCCAAGTCTTCAATACATTCACCAGACTCCATAAGAAACGATCCACTTGTCACACATACACTACCAATCGCATTCTTTGGAACGGCATCCCTCACAGGATGACATCCAGATTCTTTATGGAGTGGATCAAATCCACCTTGAAAGGGTGAAAATCCCGAAGTACCGAGAAAAACAATGGATTTTGGTTTATATGCAGAGAATCGCATTAACTGTACAGTGCAGGATGTTGCACTCGCATATCCAATTCCCGTTGTTATTGCCAAGGCTGAAAATATATTTCCATCTTTTCCCACAAGTTCTCCAAAGTAGGCGGTCTGACAGAATGGGATCTGAACCGCACGAGAGTTCATCATGGCGCCTTGAATGAAAGACAACTCCGGGGCGCCGGAGTGATCACCACTATCAGCGCACATGAATACAGTGACAGGGGTCTTTTCAGCTTCTCCCATCACAATAGTAGTACTGCAAAGAAAAAGAAAAAGAACAGAGATGAGCTTTAGAGTCATCTTTTTATTTTTTATTATTACTTCTTGTTTCCCTTTTTTAAAAATATGCGTATATGTGTGTACGTGTGTTGTTTTATTATTATTATTTTTTATTTTTACTTGGAATAACGTATACCCCCACTGTGGTGCCTTCGCTAGTATTGCTAAACTCCCAATTAACAAAGAAGAAAACCATAAATAAAGAAAAAAAAAGATGAAATAAAAACAAATCGAATATGATGTGAGAAAAATGAAATATTAGGCGTTATCTCGAGGCATATATATATATATATATATATA